AGCATTCATAATTGTCGGAAAACACAACTTCAAAATTATAACCAGTTATATTTTTACTTATATCGGAATTTTTTGAAACTTTTCAAAACTTTTACAACTAACCTTCGAAAATTATGCTTTTAAAATTAGACATTTATGACTTGATAATAACGTGACCATCCGAAAAAGGACAAGAAATTTCACGTTGATTTACATCTTTCTTCCCAGTATTAGAAAGAGCTTATAATGCTTTATAATTGATGGTATTTGGAAATATTCCCTTCCACCAACCCTGTTGTGAGATGATGGTCTCACTATTCTAATTTCCCGAGACTTGACATTATCAGCAGGAAATCCTCTCACTGATTTTTATATTCAACCGGAATTCCATTCTTAATACTTACATTTTGATTTTTCTTCTTTGCAAATTCCCACCCGTCACAGTCTACATATTTCTGTGAAGATTTATATCAGTGGTTTAAAAGCTTTTCTTCCCACTAGACAATATAATTAATAGGCCTCCAACAGTGTGAGGCAGCTTTCTCGTTACCTCTGACATAATCCATATCGCAGACAGCATCCTGTCCATCATATTAAAGCTACCTTAACCTCGCACTCTTTGCCATCTGGCATGTGTAGACAAATGCGACATTTTCATTGTCCTAGTTGATATTTTTATACGTTATATTTCATACTATGATCAATTGCAACAAGCAACTAACACTTGTCAGTACGGTACATTAAGCACTTGAGATTATACAATGGTTTAGAATTTCATAGGTGATGGTATCCGATAAATACTCCATGTTCGGAAGTTGTGTTAATATTTTGTGTTCTGCTTTCATATGCTATCATGTTTTTGTCTCTAATATCACTACCGAGTCACCAGAGGCATATTCAGCCATATAGTAATACTCATTCTTACAACAATATTGTAATATATATACATTGCCATAGAGATACTAATTGTATTCGGACTGTGTATCTCACATATAGAAAGAGCTTATAATGCTTTATAATTGATGGTATTTGGAAATATTAGTAAATATAGTTAATATGGTAGTTACATACTATACATTATTCTCCAGTTGCTTCTCCTTAATATTACTTGATATGATCAAGTTTCGTCAGTGTTTCAATGTATTCCCTCAATCCCTCACATATGTATCTATGTTGTTCGTTGTCTTCTCGTACACCACAAAGCATTTACTGAATGTTGTACCTTAATTATTCATAGTCATATCGACGATTATAGATTACGTCCATGCTTTCTATGACTTCGATCTTCTATATCTTTATGTCACTTCCATATTATGAATATGAGTGAGTTAATATTTATCGTCACATCGGCAATATTTCAGCCATATCGGGACGAGAACATTTTATAATTATATTAAAGATGAATAAAGTTAGAAATTAAAAAACCTGTTGACGAAGAACAGTAAAACTACTAGTGTAACTCAGATATCCATTTAAAACTAGCAATTAAATCTAAAATATTGGAACAAGAAATGACATTACAATATAAAAACAGGCTGTAGATTGCTAACCACTGAAGGTAGATCACCATACTAGGGACCGTGGGGACTTACAGTACATTTGCTTCCTGCATGGACCCTAGCTGGATTTACACCATCCCTTCAGCCGTCAGCAAGTTTAGACAAATTAGCCATAAGTTAAAATAACACATATTCTACGATTAAAATTAATGGCAAGTTTAAATTTAGCTTGAAGGTTTTGGGACTTACGTACCCCCACAGGAGGACAATAATTATACAATGCTTCAACACCCTGTGAGGATACAGCCACTAACAATCTCAGCTGCTCAACTAAACTACCAATTTTAAAATATTTATCTATTTACAATTCATTCAACAAATCTAATTCTTTTAAAAATGCAATAACTAAATGAGAACTGATATTATTAAAAAGATCCTTCATCGTTCGTGATTTGAAATAGATATCCCTTGTGATGGAGTACTCAACACAGTCAAGCAAGACATGCTTGACCGTGATTCGTTCATCACAAGGGATACAAAACGGAGGATCCTCACCTTTTAATAGGTACTCATGCGTATATCTGGTGTGGCCAATACGACATCGTCGTATGATGACCTCTTCAAATCTGGACTGACAGCCCAAGTAGGTGTAACCGATAGTTGGTTATATTGCATGTAATTTATTTATACCAACTTGGGTATCCCACTTCTTTTGCATCAGATCACGGATATAAGATCTAATACAAGCTTTGAAATTAGAGTACGGGATAAGAAGTGGTGTCACAGATTTGTTGAGTGCTGCCTTGGCAGCATGATCGGCCATTGTGTTCCCAGAAATGCCAACGTGGCTGGGTAACCAACAGAAGACGATGTCGCATTGGCCAGTAGCAAGATCATTATATAATTCGATTATTTCAATTAAAAGTGGATGTTTGCAAGAGAGATTTTTAATAGCCTGAAGACACGAAAGAGAATCGGAAAAGATTATATATTGTTTATGTTTAGGATGTCTTTGAAAATATTTAAGAGCTGTTAATATGGCGTTTGCTTCTCCTGTAAATATAGAGCTGTCATCGGGTATTCTAGAAGATATTGTTCAGGATCCAATGACAGTGGCACATATATGTATTATATTTACTTATTTATTGATTATACTCTTGTTGATATTGTAATTCATTAGTTTCTGATTTTTTAAACTTTGTCAGAGTTAGGTCAACTTGTGGCCAAACCAATTGTCAAGGAGGAGAAGAAATAAGACGGGAAGGAGCTATATTTTCTAGCTCAATGCCAGCAGCAGAAAGGAAAGGTTTCACTCTTATACCAAGAGGCGGAACAAGAGAATACTTCTTGTTATACAGATCTTCATATAGTGGATTAAAGACACAGTTATATGCAGGGTTTGACTCATTGGAATAAAGTTTTGTAATATACTGTAAAGTTAATTTTATACGGCGTTGTGTAAGAGATGGCTCATCAGCCTCGACGTAGAGGCTGTCAACAGGTGAAGTTCTAAAGGAACCAAGACATAGTCTTAGACCTTGGTGGTGGACAGAATCTAAAAGTTTCAGATTACTGTTGCAGGCTCCACCATACACGATGGAGCCATAATCAAGTTTGGAACGTACCAATGATCGATATAATTGTAGGAGGGTAGCTTGATCCCCTCCCCACTTAGAATTGGAAACGACTTTCAACAAGTCAAGTGCCTTCAGGCATTTAGTTTTAAGGGTCTTGATATGGGGAAGAAAAGTTAGATGCGAGTCAAAAATTAAACCCAAGAACTTGGCTTCCTTAACAACTTTGATGGGAGAGCCATTCAGAAACAGTTCAGGGTCTTTATGCGGTTTATATTTTCTACAAAAATGGATACAATTAGTTTTGGATTTAGAAAACTTAAAGCCGTTTTCAAGACACCATTTATCTATTTTGTTTAAACACAACTGCAATTGCCGTTCAATAGTATGCATACTTTTACCACGACAAGAAATACTAAAATCATCCACAAAAAGTGACCCATCGATTGAATCACTTAAGACCTTTGATAAACTGTTGATCTTAACACTAAACAATGTGACAGACAAAATACTACCTTGTGGAACACCCAGATCCTGCTCCTAATGGTCAGACAGGGTAGAACCCACGCGGACTTGAAATTGCCTATCAGTTAAAAACTCGGATATAAACTGAGGCAAACGGCCTCGTAAACCAAAATCATGTAAATCTTGTAAAATGCCGTGCTTCCATGTCGTGTCATAGGCTTTCTCTAAATCGAAAAATATTGACACTGCATGCTGCTTGGTAAGAATGGCATTCTTAACGAATGACTCCAATCGAACTAAATGGTCAATGGTACTGCGATTTTTACGAAAACCACATTGAATATTTGTGATTAAATTATTGGACTCTAAGTACCAAGTTAATCTGTTATTGACCATGCGCTCCATGGTTTTGCAAACGCAACTAGTCAAGGAAATGGGCCTATAATTTGAGGGATCTGTATGATCCAGGTTTAGGTATGGGTACAACAATGGCATCACGCCAAGATGAAGGAAATTTACGAGATGTCCAAATGTCATCAAAAATATTTAATAGTGTTTCTAAACAGGATTCAGGTAAGTGTTTCAGTAGTGGATAATGAATGTTATCAGCTCCTTTTGCAGTATTGTGAGCTTGTTCAAGAGCAGTATGAAGCTCGTGGATAGAAAAGATTTCATTATAGTCTTCCCCATTATCTGAATGAAAATTGATTTGTTTCTTTTCTTGCAATTTTTTGTATTTTTGAAATTTAGGAACATAGTTAGACGAGGAAGAATGCTTTGCAAGTGTTTCACCCAGTTTATTTGCGATGTCAGATGTATCTGTTAACAATTGGTCCCCAGTTTTGAGATGATTAATGCTTGATTTGGTACCCTTACCTTTAATTCTCTGGATCATGTTCCATACCTTGGACATCGGCGTCCGTGAATTTATTTTCGAAACATAATTTTGCAAAGACTGGCGCTTATTTTGCTTAAATGCTCGACGTGCTCTAGCGTTTAAAATTTTAAATTTATCTAAATTATGCACCATTGGGTGGCGACGGAAATAGTGTTCAGCTTTTTTCCGTGCCTTTCTAGCTTGTTTGCAGTCATTATTAAACCATGGTTTACGTATATGTGGATTTGTAGAGGACCTAGGAATACACTCATCAGCTATTCTGTGTAGTTCATCAGAGAATAATTGCACTGAATCAAGAGCATCAATAAAACGAGCAGGATTTAGTTTGTCAATACAGAGTAATTCAAACAAAGGCCAGTTTGCTTTGTTGAAGTTCCATCTTGATGATGGAGCAACATCAGCAGGAGTGATTGTTTTAAGAATGGTCGGGAAATCATCACTGCCACACAAGTCACTGTGGACAGACCATTCAAATTCATTAAGCAGACCGGAATCAGTAAGAGATAAATCTAGACAAGAGTACGTACCTGTACCAGGATGTAAGTATGTTTTCGAATTATCATTGAAGATACACAGATCGTTGTTAGAAATAAAATCTTCCAATATGTTCCCATTTCTGTTTGTATCAGAACTACCCCAAAGTGGATTATGACCGTTTAAATCACCCATGATGATACATGGCTTGGGGAGCTGGTCATAGAGAGTCTGAAGATCAGTCTGCTGAAGAGAAGAAGATGGTGGTACATACAGTGAGCATAATGTGAAAACGATGTTTAGAGTCAGTCTGACAGCAACTGCTTGAAGACATGTATTTAGGGGAACAGGGCTATGTATAACACCCCGTCTAACCAAAACGGAAGAACCCCCAGTAGTTCTAGGCCCTGGAGGAGAAAAGTAGTTATATGAATTATATTGTCTTACATCAAATTTATCTGTATTTTTAAGATAGGTTTCCTGTAAACAAAATACCGATGGTTTTAAATCTTGAATCAGTAACTGTAAATCATTATAATTGTTCCTTAGTCCTCTACAATTCCACTGAAAAATATTATTTGAGCAGTTCATGGAGGCTCACTGAGAGGTCGTACATTAGAGTGGGGTTTTCTCCCATGGCTCGGGAGAGAAGAATTGACCTCTATCTCCAAAGGTTCAAACTGATTTTGAACCTTTACTGAAAGTGTCTGAGAGGAAGGCACCTCCAAATGCTGGAGAGTTCTGGTCTTCATTTTTTATTCCTTTTTCTCTTTTTTCCAATTTGTGATAGTTGGATTGTGTGGGTGTTGATTCCGGCACGGATTCTGGTTCAGATGAATGATCCATTGAAAGTTGTGATGCTACACGTTCTGTCTGGGACGCTGCACAAGATATAGTTGACGGAGATGGAGAGATCTGATCATCGATAAGGATTTGTTCATGAACCCAAGATAGGGATGTTTGACAGGCTGTTGAAGTCAGGGAAGGTCTGGAGGCAGTGGTACGAGAGGACACTGCATCTGAGTACAATATAGTTGAAGCAGTTGAGAGAGGAACAAGCTTTTTCGCTTCAACATAAGAAATGTTGTTCGTGTGTTTGATCTTTAGAATTCTTGTTTCGCGATCATATAATGGGCAGGATTTGGATGTGGCCAAGTGGTCTCTGTCGCAGTTCGCACATTTGATGTTATTGGTGCATTCAGAAGACTCGTGAGCGCCTCCACAACGGGAACAGAATGTGTTGTTACGGCAGAACTTGGACCCATGACCAAACTTTTGACATTTGAAACATCGGAGTGGAGTTGGGACATATACCTCCACCCCAATGTTAAAGTATCCGGCTTTTATACACTTCGGAAGAGTCGAAAGTGCAAATGTAAACAGATAAGTAGTAAGTTTAGTAATACTGCCATCATCTCTCTTTTTGGTAAATCGCTTTACGGTGATCACCCCTTAATTTGTCAGCTCAGTTGCAATGTCCTCCTCACTCATATCAGAAAGACAATGAGCCCTGTCTCTGACTATACCTCGGCAAGAGTTTAACGTTCTATGTACCGAGACAACAACGGGTGTATTGACGAACTGTTTTAGTATTAACAGATTATCCGATTGTTGTTTCCCCAGACATTCCACTAACAATGATCCGTTCCGGAGATGTGTTACGTCCTTCACCTCCCCACAGACACCTTGAATTCCCTTTGAAATAGCGAATGGGTTCAGTTTCAAAGTATTGTCATCTAGAGATGAAATCACAATGAATCTCGGCCAAGATTCGACTGCGTCAGGAGATCCATCATCTGATGATGTAGATACCACATGTCTACGTTTGTGTTTTGAGGAACCAGATTGAATGGAAAAAGCCATGGTGTTTCAAAAGTGTTCAACATCCCTGCTCCTCACCCGCCATGGAGTGTCAACAAGGACGGTGTTACAGCGGAAGCCAGGTCTGAGTAGCACTGACTGATCTTAGTGTGAGCTACTGATGCTGAGGAAGGATCCGGTCTGAAGATGTTGATGATCTGGGAATCGTCAGCATAGAAGTGCTTCGGAAGATCATAGTTTCCAATGATTTCACCCAATTGTCGAATGTAGAGGGTAAATAACACCGGTCCGAGCACTGAACCATCAGACAGTATGGTGTCCTGTACATCGCTGGTCAAGTTGCTCCGCCTCCTCCTACGGATAATATCGTCCGACACGGTCTGTTGATCTTCAGACACACGATGTGTTGACCATGCCAAGCTACTTGTGTGCGGACATTCTTCAACTTGCCACGAGCCTCCATCCCAAGATCATCATCTGAGATCTTTCCAGACTGTGTGTTACATCACTAACTCTTCGCTGTGTGTTCCATCTGACATTTCGTTGTGGAGTTCGGTACAAAATACCGGACAGCTCATGCCGTGACTTTTCCTGCCCAAGACAGTGCTAGTTCATTCGTTGGGGACCGATGACAAGTGATCTTTTGTGAATGATCAGACCAGATATGGCCATAAGAAGTGACATTTAATCGTCTTTATTACTTTTATGAACTTTAACGGAATAGGATTGTATTGTATTGTTTTGTGTTGTGTTGTGTACATGCTTTGTGGTATTACGAAGTAACATGGGGGCCATTTTCTTCCCCTTTTTCGAACGTACGTTAGTGTACCTTAGACATGTTTGCCAGTTTCGCGTTTTGTACAGATTTCTCTCAAAATTCTCCTCATATCCAAATCGAGTTCTGTGCTCCTGTATTGCTTCGGGTGTAGATTTGGTTGTCTTTTTACACATCGCCTCCATGTACTCATGTTTACTTTATTCCGAACTGTGGGCAGCTCTTGTCCACAGGCGGAGGATGTTATAAGGTTAAAAAAGGCATCTGTTATACAAGAAACGTACCACAAATTCGTTAGTGAGGATTACGGTGATTGCATCAGAAAAGCAATGCTATTACGGCTTGGTAATAAATTAAGGAATCAAACAACAGGATAAATCTTATTGACAGAACAGGAAAGTCCTTTTAGGTATTAATGAACAATGAATCACAGATGAGAGTTTTCAGTAATTTTCCGATCACGAGGCAAGACATGAGACCATGGAATGGTGTAATGTTTAACAAATCAGAGGGATTGTATAGGGTCATGTGACAAGGGTGGAGCGGGCTCGAACACCTTAAAAAGATACCGTCAGCACTAGAAAGTGGTGCGGGTTACAAAGTCAGCAGAACGTTCGCATCGCGATCGATATCCATATCTGGTGAAGAGCTTGTCCCATCCTGTTCAGATCACGCACCTTGTAATGAAGAGAGGGATCGAGTAAATCTATGTGAGTATAAAACCTGGTGTTGAGTTATTCATTGTATGCCAGAGTGCCAGCACATGAATGAAATGTGTTTATTGAGGAGTTACAGTCGTCTGACCTCTCACTCCTAGACTTAACATCCCCATGGACCAAGCGAGTGTGTAACTTGAGCTTACATCACCCCTGACAATGCGGAACGGCCATCTTAATAGGTAACTGGTTATAGGGTTTACTAACACCCAAATCCCAGTTACGACAATATTGATCTTACTGCAAACCATGGACCCATCCCGAAAACAAACAACACGGGGCAGCTCTTATGATCACATTCTAAACTGTATGATACAATTGTGCCCAAACTGATGTATTCTGAAAGGGATATTGAAGCAGAGGGAACGGGTTGCATGTTCACCATTTCCTATGAAATACAAGAAAGGTTCTATCCTGGAAACTGACAAAAGAATGTTTTTGTGCCATTAATGCAAACGATTTGCCTACCGTAAAGGTGACTGTGTGTTCCCATCGGTCATGCACCGGTGAAGATGCGGGTTAGAACCTTCAGTAACCCATGCTTGTCGTAAGAGGCGACCAACGGGATCGGGTGGTCAGGCTCCCTGGCTTGGTTGACACATGTCATCGTATCCCAATTGCGCAGATCGATGTTCACGTTGTTGACCTCTGTATTGCCTGGTCCAGACTCGTCTATTTACAGACCTCCGCCATATATCTGGAATATTGCTTAGGGCGGCGTAAAACTAAACTCACTCATTCATTTCCACAATCTGATTCTTCAAAACCCATCAAACGCTTACATTAATCCTGATGATGTAGCAGCCGAAAGCTTTGATTCTTGGCTCAGGTTTCTCATTATTGTTTCTGCATTTTCCATTGAAACCCAACCCTCTTGCTATCTCCAAGGGCATCCACGGTGTCTATGAAGAGGTTACAAAATAAATGTCATCTGCCTCCGTAACGGTTCGCTGTTAGTTGAATGTGCAAAGAGGCAACAACCTGTCAGTCGGTTAGATCGTAGCAGTTTGTTAATATTTAGGTTGTGAACAGAGTGAAAAGAGATCGTGAGAAATCCCCTTCGTACATAAGCGAGTGTGTGAGTGAGTGAGTTAAGATTTAAAGTCACATCGGCAATATTTCAGCGATATCGCGACTAAGAACAAATTATAATTTTATGATACATAAGGTGAATTATGAACACCTGTCCGCGAAAGACAGTAAAAACAAGTAGAATATTATTGATATGAATATAAAACTAGTATGGAAATCTAAAACATTTTAATTATAGAAGACAATACAGTGTACAGACAAGCTATATATTACCAACAAATGAAGGTAGATCACCATACATGGGACTTACAGTACATTTGCTTCCTGCATGGACCCTAGTTGGATTTACACCATCCCTTCAGCTATTGTTCGTTTCAATTATCTATTTCAGGCACGTCGTAAGGGATAACAAGTTTTTTATTGCATCAATAAGAAGCTAGTGTTTTTGTCCCAAATACATAAAGTATAGACCAAAATATTGACGAAAATGTGTGACTTTGTAGCTTTAAATTCTTGTTTATATTGTAATTCATTAGTTTCTGATTATTTAAACGTTGTCAGTGTTATGTCAACTTCATTCCACACTAACTGCCAAGGAGACGAAAGAAGGCGGGAAGATATATTTTCTAGCTCATTGCCAGCAGCAGAAAGGAAAGGTTTTATTCTTATTCCCAGAGGCGGAATAAGAGACGACTTGTTGTTGTACAGATCCTCACAAAGAGTGACAAGCATGGTTAGACTCGTTAGAATATAGTTTCGTTACATACTGTAAGGATAATTCTATACGGCGTTGGTTAAGAGATGGTTCATCGGCCACGACGAAGAGACGGTCAACAGGAGGAGTTCTAAAAGACCCAAGAAAAAGTCTTAGACCTTGGTGATGGACAGAATGTAATAGATTTTAGGTTGCGTTTGGAGGCTCCACCAACGCTTTAACCACTGGGCTACCCCACCGCCCCATTTTGATATGTGGTAAGAACGTCAAATGAGAGTAAAATATATGTCCCAAGAACTTGGCCCCTTTCACAACCTGAATGGGTGTGCCATTTAAAATAGTTCAGGGTCCTTATGCGACTTATATTTTCTACAGAAAAGTATACAATTTTTCTTGATTTTGAACATGTAAAACCGTTTTCAATTGACCATTTGTAATGGTTGTGATATGGTTCTCTTCTTTATGTTTTTTTTGTGCCAGTCAACATTGTTTGGGTCTTCGCGATATTTCTGTAGCTCCTTCTCGTAAAATGATCCTTCAACTGGACCCGACTGTAAATCTTCGAGTCAGTAGATGGCGAGTTCATATCTGACACGACGTTTAGTAATTTGAAACATTTCCTCCGACCACTTCTGTTCGTATTCCTTCTCAAATGTTCTCTTGGCGAGCGATATGCGTACGCAATCTCCAACTATAAATTAATACTTACTCTTATAACTCGATGATATGCTCGTGTTTGCCTTGTATTGGGCGACTTGTCCGGAGACTTTGCTTTTTTCTTTTTCCTTTTAATCCGTTGTAAGGATGATGATTGTAGTTGAAGGTGAGGTGAGGTGAAATTGGGTTTAACGTCGTGCTTGAGAATATTTCGCTCATATGACGACGTGCATGCGTGTGTGTATGTGTATGTGCGGCTGCTTGTACTAGCCCAGACTTAAGCTGGTTGTATAGTGCTAGCCCACTGAGATACCATGCCGCAGTGAAGCATGAATACCCCACTCAGACACATTATACTGACTCCGAGCCGACCAGTCCTTGTTGTACCCATTAATGCCGAGCGCCAGGCAGGGACCAACAAGTACCATATTTTAACGTCTTTTGGTGGGACGCGGTCGGGGATCGAACTCGCGACCTTCCGCTCTCCGGGCGGACGCGATTCATAGTTGAAAATGAGATTGGGTAAAACATCTACATATCTCTAGGTATCTTTGAAAGTAAAATATCTGAATGTCAGAGTTCCCAGCTTTTGAATAAATCTGTCTGCATAATTGGCTTTGACATCAGAATTGTGCGCTACGTAAATTCTTTACAGGTAATTTCTTGAATACCTTCTTAATCAACTTATTTTGAAATTCTCCTTTATCAATAGAAGCGAAACACTTTGTTCATGGTGTCTTTTACAGTGTCATACCATATGTGGCTTGAGAAACAATCGATTAGGATAAGAATATTTTGTATTCCATTATTGTATTCTGATAGATTTGAAACGTCGTATAGGTCTGGGTGTACTTGAATGTTCATTCCACCGACTATGACCCGGTTTCTGTAAAAACTTCTTTTTGGACGTTGGAGAAGGGAATAGACGTCCTGTTTCTGTAACAATGTTACCACATTATGCGGTTTCAGATTGGGATGATTATTCCTCAGAACCCACATGAATTCCTGCGTCCGACCAAATGCCCCCGGTTGTCTGGAATAAAAGTACTTGAAAATTTCTTCTGCTGTTATCCATTGATCCGTTTTCGGTGTCGTGTCGCAATAATCTTGGCACTTGTATTTCAAATAATACAGAGGAGATAGGTCCTGTACGAGTTGAGTTTCAGAAATGAACTTATTCCACGGAAGTGTAAAACCGTATTTGTCAAATGATGGCAATAAGAGTTCCTTTATGAAAGATAACATTTCATCATTGGTTGTAGTTTGATTAGAATCCGCCATTCTGTAACTAGACGTGCACGAGTTATTAGTTTTTCCGGACATATGTATAGTGTAAATCCAGCTAGGGTTCATGCAGGTAGCAAAGGAAATGTAAGTCCCCATGGTCCCTAACGTGGTGATCTACCTTCAGTTGCTGGTGATCTATAGCCCTATTTTATATTGTGTTGTTTTGGAATGACTTACAATTTTATAATGAACTCAAACTAGTTTTAATATATTCGTGATAGTCTAGTTGTTATACTGTCCTTCGCCGAGAGGTTTTTAAATAAGTATAAATATTTTTTATTCTTAGTACATAACTTTTTGTCGTCACGATATGGCTGAAATATTGTCGATGTTACGTTAAATATTAACTCACTCACTCCGGACACATGTTGATAAAATATGACTCAATTTCATCTACTGCCACATCCATTGAGTTCTCAATTTCATCTACTGCCACATCCATTGAGTTTGGAGACTTTTGTCTATAACCAATTCCTCCAAGAATATGATAAAACTGAAGGGAGCCCCACGAGTCGGGTAAATCGTAGCTGCCTTCTATATACCTCCTACACAAAATATGGACAAATGATTTGATATCGGTTAGAACTTTAAAATACAATATATTCGTTGATGTGTGCGTATTGTCCGGTTTACGATCATGTCACCGTATTTCTGTGATGAACCTTTACCTATTTTATAGTACGGGGGCTGGAAAGTAAACCGGGGGCTAGTTTAACGATTTTCTGACTCGAAGTGTGGGCCTATGAATCATTCATGCTGCTATTTCTGAAAGAAACCCGTGGCTGTTCGAGTCGTCAGCTCGAAGAGTGGTGTACAAATCACTGCACCCTCTAGAAAAAGCTAACAGTTTTGAGTTGCATCCCTTGAATAAAATTTTGCTACCAGAGGATTGTCCAACAACGGGCCAAATGATAATCAAAGTTGCGTAATATACGCGGTAATTAAGTATATTGTTTTAACGCTGTGTTTAGCGTTAATAGTTGAATAGTTTTCTGAGAAGTGAACAGTACATAAGAAACAAAGGAGGAATTCACTTCAATGTTTATTCTTCAATTTGCATGTTGGTTTGCTTGTGTGTTTTCTGAAGCTGTAGCTGAATAGTGAAGAAAGAATGTCATAGTGAAAAGTTTTATAGAAAACTATCATGACACAAGGAACGACACACTGAGGAGCCCAAAGCATAACGCTTCCTCAACGTAAATTTGCAACGTTGTTATTACGTTGTACGTGATATAACATTGCACAGTGACGTGATAT